ATTATAAGATTAAGCAAAATAAGTAAAAAAATGTGTACACTGACAAAGATGCCCAATATATATTACTAAATGAAGAAAGCAAGCTATAGAATAGTGCATAAACTATAACCCCATCTTTTCTGTAAACATTTATACAATGGACATACTGGTTAACATAAGTTTAGAAATAGATTTGAAAGGATACATACCCTTGCAGCCCCCTACTGGGGATTGAGCCTGCAACCCAGGCATGTGCCCTTGACTGGAATCGAACCCGGGACCCCTCAGTCTACAGGCCGATGCTCTATCCACTGAGCCAAACCAGCTAGGGCTATTACATTTTTTAAATTTATAGTTTACCAGGTAAATGCTATGTCCTTAATTCCTTTTCCTCAAATTCTTTAGTTTTAAGGTTGAGTAAATGATATTAAAGCTTAGTTACTTTTCATTGAGCCCACCTGACTTCAACAAATTTTCAGTATTATATCACGTTCTGATTACAACAGTAATATATAGTTTTAGTATGCAGATAATAGAAATGTTTAGAAATACACAAATGTGCCAGCCTCTTTAAATACGATGACTGTGTTAACTTGGGTATATATCCTTTCAAATCTATTTCTAAACTTATGTTAACCAGTATGTCCATTGTATAAATGTTTACAGAAAAGATGGGGTTATAGTTTATGCACTATTCTATAGCTTGCTTTCTTCATTTAGTAATATATATTGGGCATCTTTGTCAGTGTACACATTTTTTTACTTATTTTGCTTAATTTTATAATTTAACATTTATTGTGGCATCTTAGGATCTGTGGTCTGTCAGAATTTAATGGGCAGTGTTATTTCTTAGACATAAAATAATGGCATATCATAATTATTGGAGTCTGGGTTTTGGTGAATGTCCTATAAATGGACATTTCTTAAAATTTTTTATTTGCAATTACAAACAATGCTATAGGACATATATCCTTGCATATGTTTGTTTTTCTGTAGAATTAAATTGTTACAAGTGAAATTACTTTGTCAATTTTAATAGATTTTGCCAAAATTTCTTTTTAAAAGATCAGTTTACACTCTGTGTACAGTGGAAGAGAGGGCTTATTTTCTCAAACTTCATCAATACTTGGGTATTCTCAGTCTTAAATCTTAACCTGATGTGCAAAAAAATATCAACTTGTTTTTATTTTCATTTTTTAAAATTGAACAAAGTGTTTTTATTGTAATTGAACTAGTAATCTTTGTCTACCTGTATTAGGAGAATTTTTTATATTTGAAATGATCCTTTCTCACATGTGTGGCAGATATTTGTTCTATAAAGTTTATTTTTCTTGACCTTTATGGCAGATTTTGTCATAGGGAAGTTTGAAACTTTTTTTTAATCTAAAATGTTTTTGTCCTCCCCCCTCCCCTTTTTTTGTTGTTCACACTATTACTGAAACCTTTGTATGGCACATTTTTTTTTTAATATATTTTATTGATTTTTTTACAGAGAGGAAAGGAGAGAGATAGAGAGCTAGAAACATCGATGAGAGAGAAACATCGATCAGCCGCCTCCTGCACACTCCCCACTGGGGATGTGCCCGCAACCCAGGTACATGCCCTTGACCGGAATCGAACCCGGGACCCCTCAGTCCGCAGGCCGACGCTCTATCCACTGAGCCAAACCGGCTTTGGCTGTATGGCACATTTTTTATCAGAGTATTCATGAATGCTGGTTTTTGTAGTATTGATCTGAGTTCTTTTCCTGAATTTGTTAAGAAAAATTAAGATTAGCAAACCATTTTAAAAGCGTCTCTGGACGTTGCTGAACATCAGAATTATAAACTCTGCTTAATGAATAGGATTGCTTTTTATTCTATTTATATCCTTATTAAGAGTCTTTTGGTTTTATTCTATTTATATCCTTATTAAGAGCCTTGGCTTTATATCTTTTTGTTCTAAAATACATCATAATTTTGTAATGGGTTTTAGTGGGAAGAATACTGTACTAGAAGTAGAGAGACCTGAGTTTTTTCCCTGTGTCATTAATAAGTGGTGTTCTATTGGATAAATTCCTTAAACTCTAGGTCTGTTTTCTCATTAGTGAAATGGGAAGGTCGTAATAAATATTTGACTTGTGTTTGGCTTAAAATTCTAGTAACTTGCTAGTTTTGTTGATTATTAAGAGTCAGTGCTTTTTTGTGCATTGCATTATCATTCCTCCCCTTAACCCGATACAACTATATTTCTCAGTATTTTAACACAGTACTCTTGTTTGTGATTTGGTTGCTCAGTTGTTCAGTTGTTTTTAAGCACATTCTTCTAGCTTTTTACTGTGAAATCTGTTTAAGTGTCTTATACACAAATTATGCCCAATCATCTTTACATAATTTTGTTCAGAAAATATTTGTGATAATCAATAAAGCAAAGAAATAAGACATATAATGAAGATGAAGTAGGATTTGGAGTTTAAGAAGAAAAATTGGACTTAGATTTGGTGTCAGATAAACCTGTTCCAATCTTATTTCTTCCATAGTGTAGAAAGACCATGAGCAAGTTAATTTGCCCCTGAGTCTCAATCTCTGTAGTTTTGTAATTGTAAACAGTTAGTAATTACTTCACAGGATTATTATAATGACTAATCACAGCCATTTAGTAGACATTTAGTAACTCATTCTCTCTTTAGATGTAACAACTAGTGATAGAGCCAAAAGAAGGACTTTGATTTTTTTGTTTGTTTTTGTATACTTGAAGCTATTAAATTGATTAGCCTCAAAATCTTGGAGTATATCTAAATGCATTTCTTTATGAACTTTAAATTCATCGTTTTCCTCTCTTGAAATATGTGCATTTGAGTTTTTTATTTTTATATAGAGAATCCCCACTCTTAATAGGACTGTGTTTTGCTTATAACCATCTATCCTATCTAATAAAAGACAAAACGGGTAATTGACTGTACCTTTGCTATGCTTCCCATTGGCTAATCAGGGCGATACGCAAATTAACCGCCAACAAAGATGGCGGTTAATTTGCATACTAGGCTCCAAGCGGTGGAGCGAAGCCAAACGTACCCGAAGCCTGCCGAGCAGCGAGGCCTCATGGCACCGGGATCAGCGGAGCCAGGAGGCCTCACGCCCCTGGGATCAGCGGAGCCATGAGGCCTCACGGCCCCCGGATGGGCGGAGTTGTGAGGCCTCACGGCCCCGGGATCAGCAGAACAGCAAAGCCTGACGGCTGGGTGGGGGGGTCTCTGGCCAGAGCCCAGCCAGAGCGAAGGCCAGGGTCCCAGGTGCTAGAGAAAAACTGGTGCCAGCAGCCGAGGGAAGGGAAGGCCTATTGCACAAATCTCTTCGTGCAACAGACCTCTAGTATATATATAAAAGCCTAAGCAATTGAACAACCAAATGATGGGTCGACTGGGTGCTATGATGTACACTGACTACCAGGGGTCAGACGCTCAATGCAGAAGCTGCCCCCTTGTGGTCAGTGTGCTCCCACAGAGGGATTGCCACCCAGCTGACCAATGGGTACCAGACACAGGGCTCACAGCTGGTGAGCACCGCTGTGGTGGCGTGAGCCTCTCCTGTTAGGGACTGACTGGGTGCGAGCCTATGGCAGGCACAGTAGGGCCGGGATGAGCAGGAGCGGTAGGCAGGAGTGGCAGGCAGCGACAGACTGGCAGTTTCAGGCCATTCCCTGCAGGCCATACTGAGGGACCCCACCAGTGCACGATTTCATGCACCAGGCCTCTAGTCCTTTTATAAGGCATCCCAAATAGACAAATAAATGAAATTAGTAAACTTAAAATAGCACTTGCCTAGTTAGGATTGTGCTTTTGTGTTAACTAGGTTTCACATTCATTTCTAGAAATGCATCACATATCCTATCTAATAATAGACAAACATGGTTATTGACCGTACCTTTGCTATGCCTCCCATGGGCTAATCAGCATGATATGCAAATTAGCCACCAAGAAAGATGGCGGTTAATTTGCATACTGCAGGCGGGGCAGTACAGCGCCACCCCGCCTGCCCTGCCGCCATCCGGGCCTGCTATCTGCGACCTGGGGCGGCGGGCATCCGTGTGCGACCCAACCCGGGGTGGCTGGGCAGGCCAGCAGCGATCAGCCGGCCCGCCTGGGCACCCTGTGTGTGACCCAACCCGAGGCGGGGCCCCAACCCCTGGATCGGCCCTGCCGTGTGCACAACCCAGGACAGCGCCCCAGCTCCCAGATCGGCCAGCCGTGTGCGTGACCCAGGGAGGCGGGGCAGGCACCAAGGATTCGGGCCTGCCATCTGCTACCTGGGGAGCGGGCCTAAGCCAGCAGGTGGTTATCTCCTGAGGGGTCCCAGACTGTGAGAGGGCACAAGTGGGGCTGAGGGACAACCCCTACACACCTCCCCCGCCAGTGCACAAATTTTTGTGCACCAGGCCTCTAGTATCATATATTAAAGGATAAGCCTGAGTTATGTATTTATACTTGAATCTCTAACTAGTATATAACTTTCTTTTCTTAAATCCTCACCCAAGGACATATTCATTGATTTTTTCTTTTTAGAGACAGGGGTGGGGGGAGAGACATCAATGTGAGAGAGAAACAATCGGTTGCCTTCACATGGGCCTGGACCTGGGTCCAGAATTGAAACCAAGACCTTTCAGTGTAGGGGACCCATTCCAACCAACTGAGCCACACTGGCCAGGACCTATATGACATATTCTTAAGAGCAATTTATTATTTATTAAAAATTTGTTTTCATGTGGTCTCTGAACAAATAAAAAAGTACTGAGATTGTCTCTTCCTTTTTCCTTCCTTCCTTCCTTCCTCCCTGATTAGATTACAAGAAATGAGATTTTTTCCATCTGGTATAGATTGTATTTTAGAGTATTTGCTTTTAGTCTTCTACTAGTTTTGGATTGAGATTTTAAAATATTTACAAGGAAAATTAGTAGTTCTGTTATTTTAAAGAAACAGCTTTTGAAAGAATGAATGTCTTTAACATAAAAGGGAGAGATGCTTAGCGAAATGTGTTGTCTTACAGCCAAATTTATATCCCACCGTTGGGCTCCAGACACCAGGAGAGGTCGTTGATGCCAATTTTGGGCAACATCCTTTTGTGTTTGATATAGAAGACTACATGCGGGAGTGGAGAACCAAAATACAGGCACAGATAGACCGGTTTCCTATTGGAGATAGAGAAGGCGAATGGCAGACCATGATACAAAAGTAAGTGAAGAAATTTGAATGGGTATTATTCAAAAGTACTTTTTTATAAAATACTGGAGGTCCCAGTACATGCATTCATGCACTGGTGGGATCCCTCGGTCTGCCCTGTGGGGATCGGGCTGAAACTGGTTCTCCGACATCCCCCAAGGGGTCCCAGATTGTGAGAGGGTGCAGGCCAGGCCAAGGAATCCCACCTGTGCACTATTGGGACTGGGGAGGGACTGCAGGAGGTCTCCAGGGCATGTCTGGCCCATCTCGCCCAGTCCCGATCAGCCGGACCTCAGCAGCAAGCTAACTTACTGGTTGGAGCATCTGCCTCCTGGTGGTCAGTGCGCGTCATAGTGACTGGTCGAACAGTCAGACACTTAGCATATTAGGCTTTTACTATATAGGATGTTATTCTTTTGGTACAAAAGTATTTTAATCTCTAAAAATAACTCACTCTATTTGAACAATTAAAAATAATGTTTGATTTGAACATACAGAATAGTATGACATTAATAGTATGACTTATTAATTTGATGGAAGAAATAAAGTGACATTAGATTACTTAGGTTAGGGTAATTCATTTTCTAGCATTAGTAATAGCATTTAATGATTTCCTTAGGTTACATGATTCAACTAATAATACTGCCAGTGCAAAAGATAAATTCAGAAAGATAATTTAGATTGTATAATTCAGGATCATGTTTTTTGACATGAATTTGACTATGCTGTTCAGTAGTTTAAATATTTATGGGGAAAAAATAATTATTACCCAATAAGAATAAGTATCAAAATAATGATAAAGTTTATATACTGGAATACAGACTTAATATGTATATTTCAGTTTTCAGGATTTGGCTACATTTTTCTAGTGAATGAGTTATTCTGTAAGAATAATGTCTGCTATTTTTTACTAATATCCTTTTTTTGCTAAATATTTTTTATCATGTAGATTTAGGAAGGTTCTAATTGCTCCTATTCTAAATAGAAAAATCTGACCAATAACCTCTGGCTTAAGAAATTTTTAAAAATCTTATGATTATTTTAATGCCATTTGCTTGTATGTGCTGTTACTAGACATTTAAAAGGAGGTAAAGGAAATAAAGCCAAGGAACAGTGAAGGTGAAGTTAGGATCCTAAGTTCAGGATAAATACTTAGGATCCAGTTAATAGCAGCAGGAGAGGGTGGGCAGCAGCAGAGTACACACTGGGAGTCAATAAAAGTACAGTGGGGCCTTGACTTGCGAGTTTAATTCGTTCCGGAGACCTAGCTCTTTAAGGAGCAGCTCATTAACTCAAATTACTCTATCAACTCAATGCAAAAAATGTCCGAGAGACAGCTGGTATCTCAAAAAACTCGTTAGTCGGGACACTCGTAAGTCAAGGCCCCCACTGTACTGTAAAATGAATAACCTCTCATTTTTTACCAAAAAATTTCAATTTGTGTTATTAAGTTACTTTTTATGAAAAAGTAGAATTTCATTATGGAAATCAGGAAAAATAATTCCTATGACAGTCAACTTTTAAGACTTATCTTTACTGAAAGGCTTAAGATGACACCAGATATCCGTAGTACTAAATGGTAGCTTATAAAGCTTGAAATAGTATAAACTTAAAAATGAAATAAACACCAGTAAGTTTAGTCATTTTCACTACTATAACCAAAGAAAATGACGAATTCTTTCAGATACCATCAATCTGACAGTTCATCTTAAACGTCTTTATAATTGCTTTGAACAGGCTGAAATTGAAAAATCTAATAAAGGTTTTTGTGTGTACCTTTTGGAGGAGATAATGATTGGAAGATATGTTGATGATTCTGAAAACATGCTTCTTCACTAGAGCAATTATCATCAGGTATTGCAGAATCTGCACTAGTACTTTTGTCCTGCAGTTAAAAGAATAGTGAACCCTGACCCAGAATCTCATAGTTGCCATGAATTAGAGCTAGGATAAGTTGCTTTCCTGGGGTCACTGCCCTTTAATGCTTTAAAAATGGTCACCACTAAGCCTCATGGCAGGATAGTAGCAGAGGAAACATCTTATCCTACAGCCAGAGTTCTATGAGAGCCCCCACCCCAACCCCATTCTTCACGAAATAGACACTCACATGACGTCCTGGAAAGTTTATTTTCAAAGGTTCTGTCTCTTTAAATAATTTGAATTAAATGAAATAAAATGAAAAATCTGTTTTTTAAAATACCCTCTGGTCAATCCCGCTTCCCTGAAACACTGCTTCTTCCTACCATTTTCTAGCAGGTCTTTAGTAGTCCAAATGAAGGCGGGTTTAAAGTTGAATATTTGGCTTTATTGACTATCTGGGTTAATATTGCTTAGTCAGCAGTTTTTCTAAGTTTGTGGTTAAATGTAAATACATGTTTTGGCCACTTGGTGGCTTATTCAAAATAAACCTGTTCTTTGGAAGAGTGTCACTTACATATAAATCACATTTGAATAATTAATCTCCTGGTGCACAGCCATACTAGTTGATTTAGATTAGAAAGCTGATTAGTATTTTCACCTTTATAGACTTCTTTTCTGGAAGATTATCCAAGTTCACTTTAGTACTTCTTGTGTTCACAACTTGTGATCCATCTACTATAACTAATAGATAAAGAAAGGGGTTGAAGTCCAGAATACAAGGAGTTAATCTGTTATTTTACATTTATTTTATTTTACAAAATGACAACACTTTATTGGGATAAGTTGTGATAAATGTGAAACAGAAATTATGGTGAGTAGGATTGAATATAAGGATAGGAAACAATCATAAAGGACCTGGAGAAAATGGGGTGTCCTTGATTCTCTAATAATACTTATATTTAGGGACAGTAGTCTCAACATAGCATTTGCAGTTATCTTTTTGGAAATACTACATGAAAGAACAAAATTATTTTTTGAACTTTAAATGAGGTTATTAAAGCCTTAATTATTTCAAGGGAATAGATTAGTTTTATAACACCAGAGTAGACTTTGTTTATGTAAATTGTAGTATAAAGCATGTATTCTCTTGACTAAAAGTTGTGTTTCTTCTTTTTTTTTTTTTTAAGAATGGTTTCATCTTACTTAGTTCACCATGGGTACTGTGCCACAGCAGAGGCCTTTGCCAGATCTACAGACCAGACCGTTCTAGAAGAATTAGCTTCCATTAAGAATAGACAAAGTAAGGAATTATGGTGCATGGCTCACACTTGTTTTCAGATTATAGGTTTGGTTATATCGGTTTTTATAAATTTTAAAATTGATGCCTCTGAAATTTATTTTTATTGATATTTTTTAAGATTACCTTTTAAAAATTCATTTAGGACTTTGCTAGCATTCTGGATGTAGAAAGATATAATTTTGGAGACTTTGTAAGAATGTACCACTTTTTAAAAAATGTTTTATTGATCTTCCAGGAAATAAACATTTAATAAAATGATTTTATTTATTAGTAAAGTAGCCCCATAATTAGATGTTAGTGGAGGTAATACATGAAAGATAAATACTTTTGCATTTAAATTGCTATCTAAATTTAAGATAGTTTTGATCTTAAGCATTTATTACTTAGGTTCTAGTGCTTTTGGCCAGAGTAGTGGGGCCTGTTCTTACAAAGGTAAATCAGCAGGATAACTGTACCATAGTTAGTCATCATAAAAATGGTATATCCATCAGGAAGGGTGTAACGTGGTTAGAGTATAGGCATAAAAACAAAACATGGGCAAAATCATGATGAATGAAAAGAAAAATTTTTTATAGGTCAAACTGCTATAATGTCACTGAATACATTATATTGTAGCTTCTGTATGCTTTGTTTCACTATATAATAAGCTCTTGTGAACAGGAAATGATCACATATTCTTTGTGTCCTCATCATCTAATATAACAAATACCTGACACAAGGAATGCTCAATGAGTGTCTGTTGAATTCAGATCTTACTACGTTTAGCATTCTTTTAGTACTGCTTCAAAAGGTTATCATAATTACTTTCAACAATAAAGATATAAAATTAAAAGGTTATCATATTTGATAAGACATTTTGAGTATTAATTATTTCTTTGACTTTCCTATGGTCTTTTTAAAAACCACTTTATTGAGGTATGGTTGACATATTAGAAGCTGTACATATTTATTGAATGTAATTTGATAAGTTTGGAGATTAGTATATGTGCATGAACCCATCAACACACCATGTATGCCATAAAAATAGCCATCTTTTCTTTCTTTAAGATTTTTTAATTGATTTTTTTAGAGAGCGAGGGATGGAGGATGTGGGGGAGAGAGAGACATGGATGTGAAAGCAAAACATCAATGGATTGCCTCCTTCATGCCCCCTACCAGAGATTGAGCCAAAACCCTGGTGTGTGCCCTGACTGGGAATCACACTGGCAACCTTTTAGTGCACAGGGCGACAACCAACCAACTGAGCCACACTGGCCAGGGCCATCTTTTTTACTTTAGTTTTTATTATTTCAGTATTGATTAACAGGTGTTTTTCCTATATTACTTATATGATAATGTTTCTACTCTTTAAAAAATTAATCTTTTGCTCTTTTTCTCTAAATAGGAATTCAGAAATTGGTGTTAGCAGGAAGAATGGGAGAAGCCATTGAAACAACACAACAGTTATACCCAAGTTTACTTGAAAGAAATCCTAATCTTCTTTTCACATTGAAGTGAGTTTCTTTAATAAAATGTTATATTTATTATATATGTGTGTTATATGTAACCAAAGTAATTTCCATGTTTTAAATTTTTGTTCAACCTTCTTTCAAATATTGACATAAAATTTTGTAATACAGCACGTTTAAATAACAGGTTACAAAAATACTTGTGTTGAGGAGTATAAACAGATGGCATCTTTTGTTTGGTCTTCTGTCATTCTATCTCTGTGTTTCCAAATGTGAAAATCTTACTTAGAAGATGGGAATCTATTTTTTCCTTCTGCAAAGTACCTCATAGTAAGTCTGTGGCATTTTAAAAAATTGTGATAAATATGCATAACAAAAAATTGCCATTTTTACATGTACAGTTCAGTAGTATTAAGTACATCACATTGTTTTGTAATCAGTCCAACTGTCCATCTCCAGAACCTTTCTAACTAAAACTTGGTACCCATTAAACATTAACTCCCCATTTCTCCTCTCCCTACCTCCTGACAACTAACATTCTGTTTTCTGAATTTGAATTTGACTACCCTGTGTACCTCATATAAATGGAATTGTGAAATATTTGTCCTTTGTTAACTGGCTTATTTCTCTTAGCATAATGTCCTCAAAGTTCATCTGTGTTGTAGCTCTGTCAGAATTTCCTTCCTTTTGCAGGCTGAATGTTATTCCATTATATTCATATACCACATTTTGTTTATTCACTCATCCATCTTTGAGTTGTTCCCACAGTTGGGTATTGTGAATAATGCTGCTACGAATAGGGGTGATGAAATATCTGTTGGAATTCCATCGTGTTCTTATATCTAATTTGATTTGCTACCAAGTACAAATATTATTTTGATTAAATTATTTGGGAGCTAAAATGGTAGTCCATTTTGATTTTATTATAGCTACAGATAAACTTTCATTTTCTTAGTAAATCTAGATTAAAGGACATACAGCTTTTGCATATAGTCTATTTTTCTGGAAAATTAAAAAATATTCTAACCAGTATATATATAAAGAGGTAATGTGCTAATTGGTCCTAACGGTGTTGCAGTCACAACGGTTCAACAGGCTGCATGCACACATACTATGGGCAGCAACAGGGGTGGGGACTTCCGCCCCCAGCAGAGGTGTGCGCAGGCCTGCCCAGCTCTGATGTCACACTGCCTTGGAGGCGGAGGCCGCTTCCGACGGAGGCATGCGGCATGCGCAGGCAGGAGCTGGTGGGCGAGGACTTCCGCTCCCAGTGGAGGCACGCACGGGCCTGCCCAGCACTACCGTCACTCTGCCTGTGTGTGTCCCCGCCCAGCGCTGAGGTGAAGCTGCCTGCCTGTGTCCCTGGCCAGGGATGTGACCCCACTTGCCTGTGTCCCTGGCCTGGAATGTGACGCTGCCTGCATGTGTCCCTGCCCAGCGCTGAGGTGAAGCTGATTAAAATATTTCCTCTAATTAATTCCCTTTTAATGTGCATGAATTTCGTGCACCGGGCCACTAGTAGTATATAAAATCATACTTAGTGCTTTTAGCATACTATCTTAAGGCCAGAGTTATTGATAAATACAAGTTTTATTAAAATGTCTCCTTTCAGAAATCTGTTGCTATTAAATAAATGGCTCTTTGAAGATTATCGAAGTAAATTTTTTTTCTTTTTTTAGAGTGCGTCAGTTTATAGAAATGGTGAATGGTACGGATAGTGAAGTACGGTGTTTGGGAGGCCGGAGTCCAAAATCTCAAGACAGTTATCCTGTTAGCCCTCGACCTTTTAGTAGTCCAAGTATGAGCCCCAGCCATGGAATGAATATCCACAGTTTAGCATCAGGCAAAGGAAGTGCTGCACATTTTTCTGGTGAGATTCAATCTTATGATATTATCCTTATATTTTGGCCCTTTATATTTTTGAACCACAATAAAATTTTTAAAAATCTAGACACTTCTGTAGCAGTTTTGCACATGTGTATACTTGATCTCAAGATAATCTGGAAGAAAAACTTGGATCAGATGCCTGTGTTTTTAGTACCAGGAAGTAACTTGAGCTATTTCTGAGAATAAGTTATTATAGCAGATCTTCATAAACAAACGCTAATGTTCGAGTTGTCTCTAGAAATTAAATCATAAATATTTGGTAATGAAAACATAATTATATGTTTTAATGAAGTTTAAATTTAAAGGGGGTGATGTGTCTGTGATGTCTTATGCCACTAATCACCACATCTAGCTGGGCTGCCTGCTATCTATCTTATTCTTTCTCAACCAAGACCAGTTCATTTTCTCTTGTTCCCCACCACCAACCTCCCGGAGGCCTCCTGTTTTTGTTTGTTTGCTCACCAGCCTTATTCTCCAGGGCTTTTGGTGTTCTCTTAATTAGAATTCTCTCCTTTCTTAGCTTTTATGATGATTCTACAAGTTTCTTTCTAATCCTTAGTCTTCCTTCTTTGCTTGTCTCTTTCATTCTGTTTTTCCCATGGTGTTATCTTCCTCAGTAACATTTAACTTTATAAAACAAGTCAAGTGCTCTTTCCTTTCCTTTCATAGAGTAACAACTTTGCTTTTTCTCAATCAGCATATAGCTCTCTTTTTATATCACCATCCTGTACAGTGCAGATGATTCTCATGTTTATATCCTTAGCTGCTTCCCCTCTTGAATATCCTATACAGTCACTTCAGACTTGGACTAATTCTTAGCCTTAATAAAATGGGGGTGATGAGAACACGGCCCTCATGAGGGATCGATCCATAATGAAGCCTTCAATAAATGTCAGAGGAGATGATAATTATAGCTCACAATTAAGTGTACATATATCTTTTCAAAGAAGTTAACTGTTTACTATTCAATAGTCCATTGATTTAAATAGTCCTATATTTTAAATACAAAAGTCAGAATATGGGTATATTATTTACAACCTAATAATAAATTCATGTTTGTTTTTATTTTCATGATCTGTCTTTTTCTTCTTTTTTTCCAGGTTTTGAAAATTGTAGTAATGGTGTAATATCAAATAAAGCACATCAATCATATTGCCATAGTAAACACCAGTCAACTAATTTGAATGTACCAGAACTGAACAATATAAACATGTCAAGATCACAGCAAGTTAATAACTTCACCAGGTAAGTGATTTCTCTAGTTTTACGTTACTTTAAGCAGCCTAAATCAGGTGTTATCATGTTTAATAATAAGTTTCCCAAAGCTTTTCAATCTCTCAGTATGCACATAGGCTCTTTCCTTTGTTCCTTCTTATTACTCTCCATTTCCTTGCCCTTATAGTGAGGTTATAAGGACAAATGCAGGGCTCTGCAGTCTACTCTTCCTGCCATCATAGACCTATATAGATGATCACACACATGCCATTTGTTATGTTTCCAAGTTAAGTCAAAGTATTGTATTTAACCTCTAGTATTAACATATGATACATTTACAACTATTTTTTCTCTCTGTGTGTATTTTTTTGCTGTAAGTGTATGTGAAATGTGTACTGCCTTTCAATTAACTAACTTTATAAAAACTCTTATTTAAGAGCCTATCTTTATGTAGCTTGACTATAGCAGATGTGGTTAAGTCATTTAGAACAGTGGTTGCCAACTGATGGTCCACAGACCACTGGTGGTCCGTGAGGTCCAAAAGGTTGGCAACCACTGATATAGAACATAGAGTATGAAGGTAGTATTGAGCACCTGTTGGATGTCAGCCATTTTGCTAGGCAGGAAGAGCTTTGAGAGAAAAGATAACTATCATATATAATAAAAGGGTAATATGCAAATCAACTGAATGGCATAACAACTGCTCTCTATGGCTCACACTGACCACCGGGGAGCAGATGCTCAATGCAGGAGCTGCCCCCTGGTGGTCAGTGTGCTCCTGGCAGGAGCAGGCCTAAGCCACAGCCAGACATCCCCTGAGGGCTCCTGGACTGTGAAAGGGCGGAGGTCAGGCTGAGGGCTGAGGTGCGTGTCATCCCCCCCCCAACCCCCCAATGCACGAATGCCGTGCACTGGGCCGCTAGTATGTCATACTGTACTCAGGTTTAATGTTCATGAAATCTTTTAAAAGTTCCTGAAATGTAATCACCTGAATTCAATACTAGTGTGTGAAAGCAAAATCCTATGAATTCAGCCTGCCCAAATCATCTAGCATTTGAATCTTAATTTGGTTTAGAACTCATGTTATAACGTTTTAAAAATAATTATAATGACCTTGGCTGGTGTGTCTCAGTTGGTTGAGCATTATCCTGTGCACTGAAAGGTTGCTGGTTTGATTCCTGGTCTGGGCACATGTCCAGGTGTTGGGACTGACTGTCTCTCTCTCTCTCTCTCTCTCCCTCCCTTACCCCCTCTCTAAAAAAATCAATAGAAAAATATCCTCTGGTGAGTATTAATAGCAACAAAAAAGACCTATATTGTATTCGGATTTTTTTATTATTTACCTAATATGGGAAAAGAATAGGTCCACAGAGAGAAGAGGATGGTTTGAGGAGTCCTGGGGTCCAATTAGTTCATTTGTGTTATCCAGCCAAAACTGGGTGGCTAAATAACAGCAAGATACCCAAATAATCATTAATTAGCAAACAGAAAAGGGGTAAGCAACTCCCCCCCTCCCTCCCCCTCTGTCCCTCTCTCCCTCTCCCTCTCCACCCCCTTTCCCTTCCTCGCACTCTAAAATCAATTTAAAAAATAACAAAAAAATAATGGATAGACTTTACAATTTGATATTGGTTTGGTCTTATAACATGAATTGATTGGTCATACTACATTTTGGGGAAATTGTTCATCAGTGCACATTTTATCAAAGGAGAGAGAACCTAACTTTTAGCAAGGAATCTTAATGGAAATATGACTCCAGAAAAAGGAATATATGTAAAAATATGTATTTGCAAATTTGGCAATTTATTAGAGTCTCCATGTTATCCTTCACAAGTGACCAAAATTTACTGAAGTAATGGTGTGTGGTACAGGCTATAATGGAGGTCCACAGAAGTCATATGGAAACAGTAGAAAAAGTAACTATCTTTTGCTGAGGAGGTTAGGGTAGTCTTTGACAGTACAGATGACATAGTAAAAACAAAATTAGAATATTTAGTAGTAAAAATTATGTATGGGAATCTTAAAGGGTAAGATTTTAGTACTTTATCATTAATAGAGCATTCTGCCATTTTTTGCAATCAGCTGGTGAGTTTTTCTCTTAAATACTATCCTCATGGCAGGAAGTTGCTAAAGGGACCTATTATTACCTGAGTTCAGGGAAGGAAATGTAACATAAGGGGTTGATGACACAGCATTCTCCCTTGTGTTCAGTATAAGAAAATAAGCTTTTAAATCCCCTTAAACTGTTCAACAGTTACAGTTACTTTATAGTTGGTAATGGCTTTCCTTAAAACAGTATTGTGTACTAGGCAAAAATGGTATTAACTATGAAAACCATTTTACAGATGTAGAGCTGAATAACAAAAAAGTAAATGTGTGGGCTTTTTTTAAGGTCAATAATTAGTAGCTAGTAAGTTGCAGAACTGAGACTACTTCCCAGGATTTGTGACTTCCAGACTTGTGCTTTTTCCATTTACTTCCCTCTATTTGAAAGTCTCCTCTCCATGCTAATGTCTGTTCTAGTTAACGTTACTTCTTCCAGGATTTTTGCCTTGATTTATATACCCTCCACATGTGTCACTCCTTGTGATTAACTTTTATCATAGTAATAGTCCCTTGCAATACAATAACTTTCTCAGCTTTTAACAGGTAGTTTGCTCCTACAGGGCAGAGGCAGTTTCATTATATCCTTAGCACCTAACATGGAACATGAAGAACTTGGCTCAGGGGCTCTTGCATGTGTATTGAATGGAAGAATCCCTCTCAAATAGTATATTGAATTGTTTTCTTAAAAAATGGTTTAGTATATCATTAAGATCACCAAAAGCTTTGCTCTTAAGGATTTCTACTAAACATTGTTTTTAATGTTAATTTTTTTTAACAACTCTCAAAGGTCACCAATATAATACAAAGCTTTTCTGACTCATGGAGTTCTAAGGCAGTTGCCACCTTCTTTAAAATCTCTGTCTTTGTGATAGAAGTGTGCACATCCCTCCCCCCCCCACACACACACACACGGTACTTAAACCACACACACAAGTCATGCAAGGTGTTAACCATCTCTGGTGGCATTATACGTAGAGTGCTTTTTGTTCATCTGCATTCAGTGTTCTTGGTTTTTCTAAGAAATGAATATCCCTTGCTTTTTTAATAGAAAGGTCATTTTTATTTAAATATTTCCTAAATTTTCATCAAGTGTTTCCTTTTGGGCTGTGTAATCGTTAGCAAGATCATCACAGGCAATTCTTAAAGATTAGGTATTTTTTGTTGCTTCCTGTGTGGATGAATCTGAAGGTCCTACATTGACTACTATAGTATGTCCAAATGTAGTTATTGGCACATAGTTATTCTGTAAATGTAAAATGAGTGAAAATTGAAAACACCCTAAATATCCAAATCAACATTTTAAAATTAAGATTTGGCAATACTTTTAGTATGTGTACTTTATTTCCCTTATCTCCAGGAGTACAACTTTGTTAAAAGTCAGCTACATATTTGGCTTTGAATATATTTAAGACTTAACTAAATACCTACTTTGAAGATTGCTTTTGTCTTATGAAATCATTTTTATAAGCAGGCTATGTAGTTGAGTAGTAATTTATTTTAAACTAAGCTGCAAGTATGCGATTTCTAAAATTAGGTTTGTTTTTTCATTTTCAGTAATGATGTAGACATGGAAACAGATCACTACTCCAATGGAGTTGGAGAAACTTCATCCAATGGTTTCCTAAATGGTAGCTCTAAACATGACCACGAAATGGAAGATTGTGACACCGAAATGGGTCTGCAGTGATATTTCTTACATTTTTAATAAAAAATGATGGCTACAAGGTTATGTTTTTACTCGTATTGATTTACAGCTGATGAGCATAAATCAAATTTAAAGATAGATGTATGTGCCATTGGATTTGATAATACACATTACTTTTCTGAAACTTTCTTATGAGAGTGGGTTGCTAGACAGAGCAGAGTTACTTAATACTACTTTCTGAAGTTAAATGCTACAGAGTTTTCTTCGCTGTTAGCGCTGTCATTAGTGCAGTGGTACCAACTTAGTGTTAAATATCCTTTAGAGCAGCGGTCGCCAACCAGTGGTCCGTGGACCACTGGCGGTCCATGAGGTCCGAAAGATTGGTGACTGCCGCTTTAGAGGATATTTAAGGTTGGAGATATAGAAAGGTTTTATACTTATTTTGCTGTAGCCAATAAAGGCCAAATGGGTAGAGATGCTTTTATAAATTCTAATCAAACAGAATTTCTTAAATTCATTTAATGAGAATATATGTGACTATTCATAGTTCAGTGCCTGGCACTTAGTAGGTACTTAAGTGTGACTTCACCTCCTCTTTCCCCTAAATTAAACGTTATGCTTAATTTTACTTTCTTGACAACTTGTATAGTAAACTGCATTGTAAAGTTAAACCATCAGCAAATTTTCCCATCAGTTGGAAAGTGAACATTATTAAAGCTTATAAATTCTTCTTCATCAGAATTCCATGGCCAACATTAGACTTCTTAGTATTTTGAGGTTAAAGGGTATTTTTTCAAATTGTTATGGGTATATATAAGAAACCACTTTATAAATGTAGTTATTATTATTTATACAACTACCTTGTTGTTGGGGATTATGTATTCTATTGTAGAAATACTTTTTTCAAGCAAGGAGTATGATTAAAAAGGCAGCCTAGTTTTATTATTTTATTAAATAATCAGCAACTTAAAAATTCAAAGAGTAATTTGAGCATAGTGATTAAGAACAAGAGTTATACAGCCAAATTACCTGGATTCAAATTCTGCAACTGCCACTTACTAGCTGTGTAACCTTGGACAAGTTACTTAAGAGCTCTGTGTCTCAGTTTCTTCATCTGTAAAATGGATATTATAATAACTGCTTCATAGATCATTGTGACAATTAAATGAGCTAATCTGTGAAAAGCTGATAGAACAAAGTGCTTATTATAAATCATCATAATCAATTGTGATTACATGTATTATTAGTAATTTAAATGGTTACATTATTAATCATTATTGTCAACCAAAATATACCCTAAAATTATTTTCTAAAAGTAGTATTCTTCTGAGCATAATGTTTTTATTGGAATTATTTAGCCTCCCTTAGCATCCAGGAATCATTTAATTCTGTCTCTATTCTATGGCAGTTAAAGTAGCCTGACAGGCAGTTACTAACGTTTTCTTTTTTTCTTAATGTTGCTTATTGTAGTTTGAGAATTGTGCTTAACTTTTTATAAAATTTCCCTTGACATATAGGTACATCCTAACACTGAGAAAGGTTGTCACCTGACTTTCAACTGCATGCTAGATATTGGATCCTAGACTCTTGAGACCTAGATAAAACATACCTTTTAACTGCAAAGTTTCATATTAAATTAAATAAATCTGCATATTTAGAGAAAAACATTAGGTAATAGTTGCTAAATTAAACATATAAAATGTTATAAACAATTTATGTTCATTTCTCCATTGCACTTCATTTAGTAATGTAGTAAAATACTTGTTTGTTTTGGTTACAGAAGTTGATTCAAGTCAGTTAAGACGCCAGTTGTGTGGAGGAAGTCAAGCCGCCATAGAAAGAATGATTCACTTTGGAAGAGAGCTACAAGCAATGAGTGAACAGCTGAGGAGAGAATGTGGCAAGAACACAGCAAATAAAAAAATGCTGAAGGTATATTTGTTTTCCCCTGTAAAATATAAGTGCATCAAAGGAACTAAATTGTAGTTTTGTAACACAGAGAATAGAGCTAGAAATTCTTGTTGCACATGAACTCCTCCCTGGCTTCCTATTTGAGAGTGAAAATATTCTGTGTGTTTGGGCAGTTCTGCTCTATTGGAAGTAGCACTGGAGTTCAAGTAAAAAGTATGGATTCAATCCCCAATTGTGCAACCTGTCAGCATTGTGTGCACTTTATCAACTTACTTTTCTTAGTCTTTTCTCAGCTATAAAATTGGCAAAGTTAGGAAAAATGTGAGTATGCTGATAAAACTGTAAATTTGAGATATTTTTAGTAAACATTGCTCAGAGTTGTAGCAAATTGAAAGTCTAATATGTACATGGTTTTCATTTTGATGATTGGTGAAGGATTTTGGGTCATCTAGTTAATACATTTTCAGGTCTTTTCTAGTTAACATTTATGATAGCTAGTAAGATGGATACAATTTAAACAATTTAGTAAGTTAGGCACAATTTTGTGTATCATTTGAAGTTGGAGTTTTCTCCTACTTTAAGTCAGGATTGTAATTAGCTGTGGAGATGTTATTCCTTTAAAAGCTTCTTTCCTACTCAAAAAAGTCCTACCAGCCCTGTAAGTCTATGAAACATTAACCTAGCCATTGTATATATATTTTTAATCCTGCGTTGGGTTTGTTATCAGAGAATTGCATGGGTGGAATTTTTCTGTTGCTAGTGGGAGTGGGGTTCTTATGATGTCTTGAGAAAAATAATTTCCTAAGACTCACAGGAGAATGAGATATATTGAAAGGTTTATTTGTGTGTTATTATATCCCTTGGTTTGCAAAGTCCCATTTCCCTTAAACCAGTCTTGGAAAATATGCAGCTGGGGATTCGGCAGAGCTAGAAGCAAAACCAGTGTCCAAAGTTTCTGTTCCATGGTGGAGTTGAGTCCAACAGTGCATCAGACTGATTGTAATCCATTAGTCCATTGTGTGGGCCTTGTGGGAGAATGCAGGGGAGCATGCCCCCTGCAACAAGAGTGCTAAGAGAGCAGGAGGGCCAACAGAGCCAAACAAAGGGAGGAATTCCTTTGTTTAGGAGTTTAATGAATATCAAATCTTCCCACACTTGCAGTGACCATGCCTGTTCTGATCTATGGCTTGTTCCCCGGTGTGATTGACAGACAAGTACCTTCCCACGTCACTCAGACCTGGAGAGCGTTAAGCTGCAGCATCCTGACAAAGCTGTACAAATGACATGCCTACATTATCTAGCCTTCTCTTTGCTTCTTTCTAGTTATTAATAACCAGGTTATTACAGTGGTATCAGGTTGGGCTCAAAGATGCTAAGTTATAAACATTTTTTCCTGAATTTTTGAAAGTTCAAAAAACCAAGGAGAGATTCATGTTGTGCTGCTTCGGTGTCACGTACATAGTAGCAAAGGGCAAGGCTCCTGACTTACCTTCCTGACTCAAACTGAGAGTCGGTGCACCAGTAGCAACACCTAGTAGCACTGATTATGGCATAAAGTTAGCAAAAATCATGCACCTACATATCTGCTTGATCTAGGATGGGTTAAGGAAACACCTATATACATCTCCAGTTAAAGGTATACAGTCTTGTATTTTCAGTATCTGAGGTGGGAAGAGAGGTGTAGTCACTATACTTAGTACTTCATCTACTGGATAGCAAACTGCTTTTCTAATAGTGATCATCAGCTCTTAAAGAAAAAGTTTAAAAGAAAATTGGTGGATTATGTGATTTAAGCTGTTTTTATTTTTAAACATTCATCCTTTTTAAAATAATTTTTATTGATTTCAGAGAGGAAGGAAGGGAGAGAGAGAGAAACATCAGCGATGAGAGAGAATCACTGATTGGCTGCCTCCCTCATGCCCCCCACTGGGTATTGAGCCTGCAACCCGAGCAGGTGCCTTGACTAGGAACCAAACCATGACCTCCTAACTCTCAACCACTGAGCCACATGGGCAGCTATTTTTTGTTTAAAAAGTCCTATCAGACATTCATATACTATTAGGAAAATAGCTGTCCACATTTGCCCTATAAGATTATGCCCTGTAAGTTCTTTGAGGTCAGGCTAGGTCTTTCCTTAACTCCTCCCCTTTTAAATATATCTTATGCATACAGAACCTAGGTATTCAATGAATGTTTATTCAATTGAGATTGAATTTATTTGAAAAGTATAACTGATTTTTCAAGATTGGGTATTTTCATCACTGTCAACTTTGTAGAACCTTTTCTCATATCAAGAGTGGCAAGAAGAAACTTATTTCTTGGCCTTAAGTTTATTTTAAGATAGCTAAAGTCATCCTTTTAGGAAATTATTTTGCTAGATACCGAGGTTCTCAGCGTTTTTTGGTGTCTAGAAAGATTCTCAAAAAGTTTATTGATTTTACTATACTAGAAATTAGAACTAAAAGTAAAAACAAGTAATTAGAAATAACAGTAAATCCATTAATTATTTTTGTGGAAAAAAACTATCTTCCCCAAAATGGGGAATAAATGAGAAGCATAGCATTGCTTTACATTTTCACAAGTCTTTAATGTTAGTTTTAATCAAGATGAGCTGGATTCTCATACTTACCTCCACTATATAGTTTTGAGAGAAGGAGAAAGATAAAAGTAGTCTTTCAGTGTTACTATGAAAATAGTTTTGACTTCACAAAACCTTCTGAGAGGGCCTTGGACCCGTGTCCCTTGACTACACGTTACGAACTGTTGTTTGAGTGGATATTTGGGAATATGAGATGATCCTAAGAATTCATAGACATTTTTTAGAGCAGGTCATCTGTTTTCTTGCTAAAACTTTGTGCTAATTGAACATGATGAAGGAATGTGTGATTTCTGCAGTGCCTTTGAAAATTTAAGAGTTCACTCAATCAGCTTACTGTCCTTGATTCCAATTTGCATGAAGCTCAGAAAATGGCATTACATGGCCTACTCTCAAAGATATTCCGTAATTATATATTGAATTATATGAAAGTGTAATTCATCTTCGTCTAAAGAATGTAGATGGCTTTGATTTTGCATCTCTTGACTTTTAAGCAAGTGCCAACTGCTGTAAAAGACTTCCTTTATGTTCTGAGCTGCTTTCCCATGCCCCAAACTTTTCTTGACCCAGATAGGAACAAGTGACTAATCTTAAAAGTACCTAAAGAACAAGGCTGAAGGATTTGAAGCAACGTGAAGAGTAAAGGTTTTTGCCATAGTTGAAAATATTTAGACTTTATTCCTTTTTATTCTTCACTTCAGATTACATGTGATGTAGTAGGGTATTTTTTATTTTTCTGGTTTTGTATAAACTTCTGAATCATATACATATATATGGAAAGAATGGTTTGGGTAAAGTCAAAGGTAAGATTACCTAAAATGCTTTATGATAAGGTGCACATGTACAATATTTGCTTCCCTCAGTTGTGGAGTAACCGGCACATTGCAGCCCACCTGTGGTAAAATGGTAGGGAGTCCCTGCAGCAGTCCATTTTCCCTTGACCTTTTTCCTAGTTTTGCCTGTCTTCCTTTCCTCTTGCCCTGTTGTCTTTTTGTTCCATATCTGCCTAAGCCTGCCAGAGGCTCCCTGGGAACTACCTGACTTTGGTCAGCAGCTATTTATTGAACTTGCGCAGTGGGGCCAGGCACTGCTATAGGCAGTGCGGAGAGTCGAATGTGTATGAGCAGCCCCAGCTAGCAGGACTTTTACTTCAGTAATTGAAGCAGTAGCCATTTAGACTCATTCTGTTAATGAACTGCTACAGATTTTAAGGCAAATATTAGTAGTTTCAGAATCCTACCTAAATAAAATCACATTTCCCTCAGAAATTGTTCTCACTGAGGTAATATCCTATCTAATAATGGACAAACATGGTAATTGACCGTACCTTCGCTACACCTCCCATGGGCTAATCAGCACGATGTGCAAATTAGCCGCCAACAAAGATAGTGGCTAATTTGCATACTGCAGGCAGGGCGGGACAGCGCCATCCCGCCTGCCCTGCCGCCATCCGGGCCTGCTATCTGCGACCTGGGGCGGCGGGCATCCGTGTGTGACCCGACCCGGGGCGGCCGGGCGGTGCAGCAGCGATCAGTCAGCCCGCCCGGCCTCCATCTGGGCATGTCGTGTGCAACCCAACCTGGGGCAGCCGGGCAGGGCAGCAGCAATCTACTGGCTCACCCAGGTGTCCCGTGTGCAACCCAACCCAGGGTGGCACCCCAACACCTGGATCGGCCATGCCGTGTGCGCAACCCGGGGCGGCACCCCAACCCCCAGAACAGCCCTGCTGTGTGTGTGACCCAGGGAGGCGGGGCAGGCACCGAGGGATCGGGCCTGCCATCTGCCACCCGAGGAGCGGGCCTAAGCCAGCGGTTGTTATATCCCGAGGGGTCCCAGACTGTGAGAGGGCACAAGTGGGGCTGAGGGACATCCCCCCATCCCCTCTCCCCCGCCAGTGCACAAATTTTTGTGCACTGGGCTTCTAGTTTTTAAAATAAAAAGTAACCCATAATGTCTTTGGTTACCATCACCAATTAAGTTTTATAGCAGGATTTTAAACATTGAAGTTGCTTTGTTGATTTCATTCCCTTTGTAAAGGAAGATCTGGTGCTAGGTACTTACTACTGGGAACTTGATGCTGTTAACCTTTTTATTTTTTAAGGTTTTGTTAGTTTTCTTGATTACAGCTTCACTCTACTTCTAAACTGTTTCATAGTGTTGCTGTGTGATTCTTCTATAATCAAGTCTAATCTATACCATGCCTGTATTTAAAACTCCATTGCCTTATTAGCCAAAAAATTCAAGCTAAAAAGCTTTTGAAGTGTTTTTAGAGGCATTTTAGGATTTTAACCCCTTACCCATGGTTCCAACCATGCCTTTTTCTCCTTTCGCTCAGCCTGTGTCCATGTAGCTTGAGCCTATTTCTGTAATTGCATCATGTGACACAATACACTGTACGTTAATAAGCAATATGCTATGTTATTTATGTGTCTGTTTTTTCCACAAAACTATGCGAGTCCTTGAAACAGTGACAAGGTCCCGGTGATCCGTGTGTCCTCAGTTGTCTGGCTGCTGTGTCCAATAAATATTTGTTTGAATTGTACTGAAAACAAAAGGGCAGAATTTTGGACTTTTTTCCTCTTAAAATTTATATTGAAAATTAAAAGGGACTTCTCTTACTAAAAGAAGTACATACAGTAAGTACTAGCTGTGTGATCTTCTTACTGCCTCAGTTTGCATACCTGTATGATGAACATTATAGTATCCACCTCATAAGGTTTTTGTGAGGATTAAATAAGATGATCCACATTAGTGCTTAAAACATTGCCTCATACAATGTTAGTGCATAATAAGTTACTACCATCATTATCATTGTGTTTTTGTTTTAAATACTAGAAGGTGTGAACAGAAAAATGGTCTTGATTTGAGATTTGAGACATTTCACCTTTTTGGTAGCATGTCTGCATATATAGACCCAAGAGAATAGCTTTGTGCTTAAAATTTTTTTGTACCCATTATTCCCGGGACAATTCTTTAGAATATCTTTTAAAAATTTATTTGGGGATGGTACCTCATTCGATAGTTGTGGGGTAAATTTAGGCTTGAGCAAAGGTCAGTCTTTAGAAGTAATGTGATTGATTAGAGTTAGCTTTATAGGATACAGACTATTAATATTCTTTCCATCAATAAATTAGGATTGGGGGAACTCAGGAAATACAACCTAAGTAGCTTTGTGGGATGCATAAAATACATTAAAACTGTAAAAAGCAGGTCTTGTGATCAGCAGGTGTGTGAAGCTTCTTCCCTATATCAATGACCTATCAGTAACTGCAGGGGATTCAAAACAGTGTAATAATTTTTTTAATCTTCAGAGAACTTTCATTATAATAATCGGGGTGAGTGGGGTGATGTGAAATACTTAGCAATGATAGTGGGGGACCCACATGTTTGTTTAGAGACACACATATTCCCTGTCTGGTAGCTGTGGACTAATGGCACAGCTTTGCCTTATGGACAATTCTTCCCTTATTTCCACAATATATAGGCCAGTTTGGATGAGAAAAGGTAAGAATACAGTTGACCAGGAAGCCTTTCCTCCACCTCTGCTCTCTCAGAACACTAATAAGATACTGAGAGGAATGCTGAAGCTGTACCTAGGAGATAATCATCTTTGGGAATCTCCGTCTTCCACACTTCCAGAGTCAGCATTTTGAAAGTTGTTACTGAATTCACTGATTTACGATTTCCTCAGCACCTCTCCATGTATGTGTTCTGAATTGGGAAGGTGTCCTGTATCTAACTATAACTATATCTGTACCTATATTATATTACTCCAGATTAGGGTATTCCCTTTGGCAAAATAATAATACATCATTTATTGAAAGATTAGAATGAACCAACATTGCTAATTTCATATTTCATTGTGAAATATGACCTCTTATAATCCCCATTACACAAATGATGAAACTGATACTTACGTCATTGATTGCTAAAGGCTACACTAATGATGCAGGCTGGTGATTGATGTCAATGTCTGAAACCACTGTGTGTGTGCCTCCCATTAAAAAAAGTCATTTGAAAAGACTATGATGTGTCAGCTACTTTAGGAGGAGGGGTGGCTTGAAGATGGTTAGATAAAGATGGGCCCTATCCTTTTTATGTCAAACTCATATCAGTGGTAATAAATTATAAAGTATCTGAATGTTTTGTCTTCCTCTTTAACTTAACCGGTATTAGCCTATTTCACAGAAATTCATTCTTTCAATTTTTAGTATTTGTTCCTGTTCTGTATGTATTGTAGAGATAGGGGGAAAATAATGAGAATGTATTTACAAAAAGAATGAAAAATTAGGCTTTGGTTCATAATCTAGTAAATGGGTTTAAGTGTCACAGTAGTCTAGTGCCTTAAAGCTGTATTTAGTTTCTCAAAGTAACCGTGTTGAGCATAGTAGTTGAACTATTTGAACTAAAAACCAAATTGCTGTTTTCAACAGGATGCATTCAGTTTACTAGCTTATTCAGATCCTTGGAACAGCCCTGTTGGAAATCAGCTTGACCCAATTCAGAGAGAACCTGTATGCTCGGCTCTTAACAGTGCAATATTAGGTAAGTAAAGCTAAAAAGCACAACTCCAACTAGATACTTTGAATGTTTGAGGTGGTATTTGTGTCGGCATTTTATATTTTAATAAAATCATAAGGGAAAGGTTTTCTACATTTTAAAATTAAGATTACCTTAGAATATAGTAACTTTCCTCCATTATTTTAGTTCCAGATTAAATGGATTCAAATGGACTAAAAACAGTACATTGGGATGGATCCTTTTTATGTCAAACTCATTATCAGTGGTAATTGGGAAGTTTGGAAATTAGAAATTTTTGTGTGTATGTACACATTTCTGGCCTGAGCACCCATTTTACACCATGCTTCAAATACAGGCACAAAGGGGCTTCCAGGTGACTTGCAAATGCCGTCACTACTAACCGTTTGAGTCAAATTATAGTTGCATTAAAGTTAAGCATATTCAACTACATGCCCTTCCCAAATAAAGTGAGTGAGGAAGAGAACAGCAATTTAAATAAGCTTAGCCAGGGGTGAGCATGAAGTGAAAAATTGGAATTTAATGTTTCCCTGGTTGATTGCCATTCCTATGAGCAGCTCACTACAGAATATAATTATATTGTTTACATGTTGAACACATACTCTTTTTATATGAATTATGTAACTATATTTTGTGCTGGGGTCCTCAAACTACGGCCCACGGGCCACATGCAAATACAGATACTGTATTTGTTCCCATTTTTTAACTTCAAAATAAGATATGTGCAGTGTGCATAGGAATTTGTTCAGTTTTTTTTTTTAAACTATAGTCCGGCCCTCCCACAGTCTGAGGGACAGTGAACTGGCCCCGTTTAAAAAGTTTGAGGACCCCTGATTTTGTGCATTTATATTTAAACTTTATAGGGTTAATTATGTAAAGCTATGTTTTAATTTCTGGGCAATTCTTTTCAGTAATTCAGATTAAGAGTGATTTTTTTCACCTTTTTCTAATTCCCCAGATAAAATGGGACTCCAGTTTACAAAACTTTTATGTGCAATTTGGCCCTGTTAGTATTCGGGGTTTTTAGCAACATGTTTCAAACTATTTTAGGTAGACAGAACAGTTCCACAGAGTAAAGGGTATTTAGACATGGAGACTTATAATGAGGGCCTGGGCCCTCATATGGCCAGAATATAAAGCAAGCATCATATTTGAGCCTTAATCTATATTTTTTCTCCTTATAAAACTCATTTTTAACTCGCGTGAAGGTCTCATACAAGTTTTAGAGTAAGAGTAATATCTTTGTGTTACAGTTTTTCTTAAATTTAGAACTTGTATATAATGAATGATGTGAGTTTTCTTTTCGTTGTTTAATTGTGTTGTAATTTCTTTGGTTATGAAATTAATGTAGCTCTGCTAGTAAAGAAAAAAAAAGCTTAGTAGCAGTGCTGGGATTGTAGGGCAAATTATGGTTTGCTATACTTATATATTTTTAAGTTACATTATCAGTAATCATGAAGCCCTATCATTGCTTTGCATTTAGGTACCACTCAGACCTGGATAAATTTGAAAGTAACCAGTTTTCCATATCTTGTGTTCTTCAAGGGGATTAAATTTTAAAATAGTACATTACTTGGGACCATTATCCATATATTATGTATTACATATTGTACTATATATTATGTAGGTTCACCCACAAATAGTGCTTAAATTTAATAAGATTATTAAACTGCAGTGGGGGTGTCTGCATATCTATAAATTCTAAATTATGTAATCTATAAATAGTGCTTGAGGTTATATTAATTATATGTAATTCTTACAAATTTTATATCCAAAAAAAATTTTTTTAATGTTTTTGTTGATTTAAGAGAAAAGGGGAGAGGGAGAGAGAGATAGAAACATCAGTGACAAGAGAATCATCTGTTGGCTGCATCCTGAACACCCCCCATTGGGGACTGCAACCTGGGCATGTGCCCTGACCAGGAATCAAACCGTGACTTCCTGGTTTATAGGTAAATGATCAGCTATGAGCCACACCGGTGGACGGGCAAAAAAAAAATTTTAAATGCTTATAACCAGGTGCCTCATCTGGCCAAATAAAATTGTAATAAAGTACCTCCAGATATTTACCTTTCAACAAGGTTATTTCCCTGAAAACATTCAGGAGACATTTTTGAAAGGAATTAATTCAAATTAAGGAAGAATTATTTAAAATTATAAAGTCAACCCTGTGTAGAGTTGGCAAAAAAAAAAAAAGTTTATCACTATCAAAATTTAAATAACTAGCATCTTGCCACAGGATAGCCAGTATTTTAATAATCTTAACCCTTTCAAACTACTCCTTCTCACCAATCTGTGTATCTTTCTTTGCATAGTCTTATTCTTAATCATATCTTCTTTCCTCTTGTACTTTAAATCCTGAACTTGCTTCATTATTTTTGCTTCACGCCTTCTAGAACAGTGGTTCTCAACCTGTGGGTCGCGACCCTTTTGGGGGTCGAACAACCCTTTCACAGGGGTCACCTAAGACCATCGGAAAACACATATATAATTCCATGTTGTTTTTGTGATTAATCACTATGCTTTATGTTCAATTTGTAACAATGAAAATACATCCTGCATATCAGATATTTACATTATGATTCGTAACAGTAGCAAAATTACAGATATGAAGTAGCAACAAAAATAATTTTATGGTTGGGGGTCACCACCACATGAGGAACTGTATTAAAGGGTCACAGCATTAGCAAGGTTGAGAACCACTGTTCTAGAACTTTTCTTTCTCTGAGATTACAACTTTTGAATTAAGTCATATGGAGCCTTACTAGTCATTTATCACTGTTTTGGCCCTTTGTTAACGGACCATTAATTTTATTAATTGGGAATCTATATAAATTTAAAATTCATCTATTCACAAGGAAAAAGTACCAGCTCCTATAAGTTTGGCCATTTTCATCATTCGTTCACTTTTTTTTCATTTCTAGCAAAGAACAAATATTATTATTTGTACTATAACTGTCTGACAAATTTCTGGTATGTAGGACCCTGAATATTTTGATAGTTAAAATGTTTGAACTATCAATTGTAAATTACCCCTCCAAAATTATAAGTAATTTTGCTCTATCATCTCTCATGGTGACCATCACCCCTTGCTCCTTACCAACCCAAACAACATTTAGCAATATGCTTTGGAAACAATTAGGCAGCCTCAGTTGTGTTCTATCCCCACAAGAATCCATCAATGAAACTTACTGAAACCCTGGTGCCTTTTTCTTAGTCAGATAGAAGAGAAATACTAAATATTCCTTATGCCCCCATTAAAATAGCAGCCAAAATATATATTTCCCATCATAATTAATATGGAAGTAAAAGATTTGGATTATCGAATGCTTTAAAAGTCTAATTCTGCAAGAATTTTCCTTATAGTTGAATACCTAGTACCTTGTCAGAGTAGTATTTCCAAGGTAATTAATCATTTGCTTAGAAACTATCTTTGCTAGTTAAGAGTGGTAATTTTGTAGATAATGCAATATTTTCCTGAAAAAGTTTTTTAAAATGTCTTGCTAATTGCTGTTTTCATTTTTAATCATTTTTCCTCAGAAACCCACAATCTGCCAAAGCAACCTCCACTTGCCCTAGCAATGGGACAGGCCACACAATGTTTAGGACTGATGGCACGGTCAGGAATTGGATCCTGTGCATTTGCCACAGTGGAAGACTACCTACATTAGCTATGCATTCAAGGAGCTCACACTTATATTGTGGCATATAGTCAACATGGAAGTAGACCAGGTCTGCTGATTTGAAATTTAGATTTTTTAAATTATGTAATAGAAACAGGAATTTCAAATTGGGAGATGTTCCGACCCCCACTCCCATATAAGCATTCAATCAGTGTAACTTGCAAAATGCATAAACATCTGACAGTTTGAATTTATAGTGTTGATGGAAGAAATCATTTTTAATGTGTACTGTAAAACTTGAAATACTCAGGAGCTGAGTGAATATGTTTGTTGCTACTTACAATCCCGACCTGTTAGTCCCAGTAGTTTTGTTTTAACATGGTCTTTTCAACTTTGTTTCCTGTTTAACTACCAACGAATTCTGTTGTAGACTCACAAGTTTAACTTGTATTATAACAGTATTATATGTCAACGGTGTGGTTATGACCTTTATTTATATAAAAACCAAATATTTAGTCAATTTACTGTGTCTTAATTTAATCTTTGTACACCTTCCATTTTTAAGTGCTTAAATGAGTACTATATTGCAATAAAAATGTAGTGATATAATTAACCAGCCATTAAAAATTTACTTCTACAGATATTAGTGTCAACTGAATTTATATATTAGGTACTTACCTATTTCTTATGATTAATATAAAATTAGAGCTTAATGAATAATTTTTACTATAAGTCTGAATTCTACAACCTAAAACTATTCAGTTTACTAGCCTCCCTGTATTAGAGTCAGACCTGATAATGTGGGTGACACAGAAAGGGGAAAATTAATGTCCTTATTTTCATAATCACAATAAAGACAGGTTACCTGACAGTAAAGCAAACCTCCAAACCAGTTAAAAGTAAAAATTAAACAAGCTGTTCAAGAGGATGACCATACACTTTGGCTATTATTTCGTACACTGAGGTTTGAATCTTCTTTAAGAAAAGTAGGTATTTATCTACACTTAGATATTGCATTTTCACAGCTACTTTCTCATTCTATATTTTGTGACGCAAATTCTCATCAGTAGCACCAAAACATCTGAGACCCTAAGGCATCTGTGAGCTGCAGTTGGAAAGACTTCCTGGATATCCATTTCTCTTCCTCCCTGCCATTCCTGCCACAACACACCCACACTGTGGACTGGGAAGAGGGACAGAAGAGGTGCCATTAGCAGTATCGTTTGTATTCAATTAAATGGATAAATATTTGCCAAAGCCGGTTTGGCTCAGTGGATAGAGCGTCGGCCTGCGGACTGAAAGGTCCCAGGTTCGATTCCGGTCAAGGGCATGTACCTGGGTTGCGGGCACATCCCCAGTGGGAGATGTGCAGGAGGCAGCTGATCGATGTCTCTCTCTCATCGATGTTTCTGACTCTCTATCTCTCTCCCTTCCTCTCTGTGAAAAATCAATAAAATATATTAAAAAAAAATAAAAAAATAAAAAATAAATGGATATTTATAAAAAGAAAGGAAGACAGTTCCTTTTAAATTGCTATTTCTTCCAGGACCCTCAAAGACTAAAGAAAGGCACAATTGTATTCCAGAAGGATGAAATGTGATGGGGTACTTCCCCAAATAGATTTATGACTTGTAATCCTTTAAAATGATTTATTAGATTTTTAAAGACAAATTAACCTTCTAAACTAAATAACTGTAAGTTCCATACATACAAAGTTCTCATTCATCATTTAGCTTTGATTTACTTCTTAGAAGTTTTCATCTTTCTGACCATCCACCGTCTTTTAAACCTCTTGGCATTTTGTTTTTTCTGGGTTCCTAGAATAGAACATTTGTGCAGTAAGAATATTAGAAAGAAAATATTATCAAAAAAGGATTAAAAACTTTTCAAGATCCTCTATATCAGCGGTTCTCAACCTGTGGGTCGTGACCCCTTTGGGGGGGTCAAATGACCCTTTCACAGGGGTCGCCTAAGACCATGGGAAAACACATATATAATTACATATTGTTTTTTGTGATTCATCACTATGCTTTAATTATGTTCAATTTGTAACAATGAAATTGGGGGTCACCACAACATGAGGAACTGTATTAAAGGGTCACGGCATTAGGAAGGTTGAGAACCACTGCTCTATACGAATATAAATACTAAAATTAGGTCTATTAAATTAGATTTTATGTCAGATATACATACATACTTATACTGACCTATTTTCCAGAAGCAACTTTAAAAATATTAATATAGAAGCCATTATAAGAAAAAATAATTCATACCTGAGTATTGGCTATTTCTTTAAAAGGAACATTATTCAATATATAAAAATATCATAACCAAGAAAATAAAGCTGGACCTTACCCCAACCATTATTCAAAAACTGGACTGCAGCCTTTTTCACTGGTAACCTCTTATTGTTAAGAGACAGGAACTTATTTACTACAAAAGAGAATTATTTATCATTTCTTTGTTTACTGCAATAAAAAGTGAGAAAAACAGCCCATAAGGAAATTACCAGTAGTCCTGTTGGTTCCTGGACCATACAGAGAATTCTGTATGAAGGCTATGGCTGCTTGTTGCCTTGAATCTCTCAGATCTTGATCTTTTAGCCTTCGAGCCACGTAGCTTTTATTCTGGCTGGTAGTCAAAACAAAATGTCAAAATGAATGAGGTTGATAACATGCTTAAAGTATTTTTCTTAGCTGTCTCAAAAGGTGAAAACAAAATGCAGATAGGATAAAAAATTCCAGGGCTGTTTTATAAGAATTGGGCTAATACATTTTAGTAAGAGCAAATATTTTGTTTTTATATAAGTATCACAACTGGTTTTCCAGAGGATCCAATCGGAAACTGCTACTAATTAAAATGTTTTCCCACATAAGCCAACACTTTTCCAAAAAGTTACCTTTATATCCTACATGAAAAAAAGACTCTTCTTACCCAATAGACTGTACTTTTTCTTTAACTTTCTTGGACTCACTTCCTTTTTCACATTCTTCATTTTTCTTCTGCAAATTATCTAAAAAAAAAAAAAGTTTTATTTCTAGTTAGCACTTACGTAAAAATAAATCAAGAACATTCCCTGGAGTTCATTGTTAAATATCTACTCACACCAACTTGTAAGAAATAAGGCAACAGGCCCAAATTAACTTGGCCAGCCATTCCTATTCCCAATGACATTGGACTACAAATGCTCTTGACATTTACATGAGAAGTTACTTAATTTAGAATAGTTCATACCTTCTTTTAACTTTCCTGGTGATTTCTTTATGCTAAGGGAGAACACAAAAACACTGATTGGAATGGCAGACAGCCAAGATTACTCAACTCATTACAGTTAAATCTGATTTTACAAATAACATACCCCCTTTCATTACCACCACCCTCAGTTCTGATTCAGGATCTTTAATCAGTTTTAGAAAGCAAGTCACCCCCCAAATTCATGGCCACCAATTCCCAATCAACAAACTAGTATATATTGGACGGGAGTATCTTCTCAGAATTTAAAATTTGAAAGCATATCAACAGCCTTCAAAGAAGCAGATTGCTGTGTTTAATGGAGTTAAAGTGAAAGGTGAAATACAAAGTGGAAAGTGGTAGGCCTCATTTTTATTTGGAGAAGTCACAAAGGAATAATTCAACAGTTCAGGCACAAGAGACAAGCAGGGAGATGGACTAGGCTCAAGGAATCTGGTCTGAAAAATGACAAAACAGTATGAGATGCCTATACCATGCACAGTAGAAAAGCTACAAGGAGGAAGTAATGGGGTGGGTGGAGTGAGAATGAGAGGTGACAGGAGTTTGGTTTTAAAGGATAAAAGGGGAATCTGCCACCAAATACATTTGTTTTTATGTTTAATGTATTCAAGATCTGAATAACTGGAAAAGTTCTACAGGACATTTGAAAACCAAGTGAAAGATATAGGTCTAAGCATTAAGGGGAGAGGAGAGAAAAACAAATATTTACAAGTTTAAACTGGGTAAGGTTTGACTGACTTCATGGGATAGATGAGGAAGAGGATGACATGACATTTGCTTCAAACATTCAGTGGGTGGCAACGCTGCTCAATGAAATGGGGAACGAGGAGGAAGGACAGGTTGGTGGCAGGTAAGGCAAGTATGGGACAAGTTGAGTTTTAGGAGGTGCCTGCAGGTAGATGTCTGCTACTCCACTAACTGATAAATTTAAAGGCGCCTGTTTTATTCACCATTTACCCTGCCTGGTACAATGACAGATACACAACAATTGTTGAATAAATACTCTGGGATCAGGAACTCAGAAGCTAGCTTTGGCAGTGGGAATGAACAAAAAGAAATGGGGAAAGACTGCAAAGAGGTAAAATACTTCCATCTTTCCCACCAAATTAAAAAACCTGTGTAATTGAAGCCTTATTGTCTAATTTAGGCTTTATTATTTCTTTAATTATGTGGATTCAAATAAATGCTCCAATATGTATCTCAAAGATGGGTGTATGTAAGCAAATAATATAACAAGATCCATCACTTACTCTGTCTGTGAAGCTGCAGTTAACTTCTCTAGAACAGTGTCTGGAAGGAGTTTCCTTTTCTTAGATAAAGACAGTTTAAAAGAACAGCGTGAGGTACATGACAACATACCTGGGTTGCTTGTGACGTTACAGGCTTGGGGACTGCCTTCTATCCTAGGCAAGTAAAGAATGTCGGCTGCCCGCTGCCCCCACTGCCTCTAAGCTGGGGGGAAACTGCGGTCACGGAGCTCAGAGCCCGCTCGACACTGTTGGGAAGACCCGGTGAAGACTGGACAGGGCGCCCGACCCTCCAGCCACTGTGCACCCCGAGAGCAGTTAGGTCATGTCCCCCTGGAGTCAGCTCTCCGGGGCCCATCTGCCAAACACCCGACAGCAGCGCAGTCACCGTCTGCACCGCCCTGAGGTTCCAAAGCACCTCAGCCAAGTCCAACAGCAACCCAGCGATACAGGTAAACTACCGCCGGCGAGCTGAATGCAGGGCCGTATGATTTCAAATTCACAGCTCTCCCCGCTCCCATTTTTAAGCGGTGGGCAGCAAAGAGTACGAGCATCTTTGTTTTCACCGATGTCTGAAGAAACAGGGCTTCCCCCCACACCTCCATATCCTACCAGCTTTGCAACAAGCACGGGAATTCCACCCCAAGCCGGAATGCCTCCCTGCAACTCGAACCTTTTGTTCAATGAACAGCTCCTCGCGCCGCTTCCTCTTCTCCTTCAGGAGTGTTTTATCCCTGAGAGAAAGGGAGACAAGTCAGTGCGCGGACAGACAGTGGGACGGGAGGGACGGTTCTCCGGCCCCGCCGTGCGCTCCCGACCTGCGCGCCGTCTCCCGGACTCGCCGCTCCGCTTCCCTCGCTTCCGCTTGGGCGCTGGCGAAAGTCAGCTCCTCTGGGGCCTCGTCGTCCCACTCGTCCCCGTCCCCGTCCCCGTCTTCCTCCAAGGGCTCGGCGGCCGCGCCGCTGCTGGGCTGCCC